TGTAGAGGTTATCGGTGTAGAGGTTATCGGTGTAGAGGTTATCGGTAGTACTGTCGATTGATTAGATTTACGCGGTGTCAATGAAAGATCCGACCAAGAGTCTAATCGTTTCTTCTTTCTCTTCGGTGTAGCATCCTCCTCCTCCTGCCCGCGCTGTTGAACGGATAGCGGTTCGATTTTCGCGTCAGCGTCGCTCTCCGTCGGCTCCTCTTTTTTCACCGCGATCAAGCTCGAGTTGTCAACGATCTTTTTCAACGGCCCGATGAGAGGTTTAAAGTGCGTGTCCAACTCAATGTCCTTCTCGATCTTACCGGTCTTCAAAGCGCGAAGTTTTTTGCGAATCGAATCACTCGTCTTCGCAATCTCTTTTACAACCTTCTCGCGTTTGCTAATATTCTCGCTCCCGTCGATCGCGGCCATCGCGGAAAAAAGCAGGGTGTCGATCTCTCTCTGTAACGCTAACGTTTCACTTCCGACGAGGTATCGGCAACGACTGATCGCTTCTGCGGTATCGCGAACACGTTAAATCCTTTTCTGTATCGACCGTTCGAAAGCGCGCTGTCCTTGTCTATCACTACGAATCCGTACTTTTGTTGCCAACAATCGTGGCACAACGAACAAAATTCGTCGTACGGCATGTCGGTATTTACGTGATCGTTGTAGACGTGTTTCAAATTGGTACCATCCTGTTTGAACAGGATCAGCAGATTCGCGTTGTCGCGTATCAGATGTTTAGGTATTCTCGCGTACGTCTGACAGAGATAGAAGGAGTCGACGCTCGAGTGCCTGCCCATTGAGAAATACTCTCTCACCGCGTCTTGCTTATCGCACGCCACGTCATCGAAGACGAAGATCGAGTTTGGACGCGCGTCGCTCGGTGGAATGACGTCACTGTTATTGGAGAACGTAAAGTAGCCAATTTCGTCGATCGATGTCAACAAATTCTCCAAATATCGATATTTCGGCTGTTGCAACGATTTCGAGTATACGTACACGTTTTTGAAACGTACGCCGTGCGGACTTTCCAGCAAGCTTATCAAGACGTTGGTTTTACCGCAATTCGAGGGTCCGCAAATGATCGCGCGTATAGTAGTCGGTAACAACGTACCGTGCTTGCGTTTCTCCACGTTGCCCCCCATCGACCGTAATCTGTCGTCGCAATTGGTCACGCGAATCGCCAACGGTTGTCGCACGAATCTCATTTCTTTCCACACTGCCGACTCTCTGGCTGACTCGAACGCCTATTTATAGGCAAGCGGAACCGCGAATCGCTCAGTAGCAAAGATGTTCGTCGTACTGTCGAGACCTTCCGATATTCGCGGTTTGAGCGCCGAACAGCTGCAATTTGTGCCGAAAGCCGTTCTGTTGCAAACGTGCGGCAATCACGTCCACTACGTGTGGGACAAGCTTCCGGAACATATAAAGGCGGATTTGGAGGTTCAAGAATATCGTCGCTGTTACGAACATTACAATCAACCGTGGCAGCGAACGCACATCGACGGTCCCGCGCCAATGATAAAGGATTGCGGCGAATGTCAACGAAAAAAATTGGCGAAGGCCTGTTAAATCGCGCGATAAACGCACTTCCGTTCGAATTACACATTCCCAGCTATCAATTTTGCGGTCCGGGAACTCGTTTACAAGAACGATTGGCGAGAGGCGATCAAGGTATTAATCCATTGGACGCGGCGTGTCGCGAGCACGACATAGCCTATTCGCGTAACCGCGATCTCACCGAGAGACACGCGGCGGACGAGATACTCGCTGCGGAAGCGCGAAAACGCATTACCGCGAGAGATTCGACTCTCGGGGAGAGAGCTGCCACTACAGCCGTCTGGGCGACCATGAAGGCTAAGACGAAGCTCGGAATGGGCTTGAAAACGAAAAAATCGAAAACGGTGAAGAAAAAAAAGCTAACGAATAAACGGATACTTCCGACAGCGAAACGAGGCGGTGTATTGCCGATTCTACCGTTGTTGGGAGTTCTCGGTTCTCTGGCCGGCGGAGCGGCGGGAGTCGTAAAGGCTGTGAACGATAACAAAGCCGCGCGGCGTCAGCTGGAAGAGATGCAACGTCACAATCGCGCCGTGGAAGGTCGCGGACTTTATCTCGCTCCGTACAAATATGGACGAGGGCTGTATCTCGGCCCGCACAAACGCGGGCGAGGAGTAGCGTTGAAAATAAAATAAAAAAAAACGTCAAAAAGACGTTAAATATGCCTGCGGGTATTACGACTAACGTACAATTGAATCGACTGGCAAGGCGTATGCGCGTACCGTTCTTCAGAGGTGTCTTCATGCGTGATTCGTTACCGATCGGCGGTGTACGTCGAAACGAGAGCGGTATCGTGAATTTGGACGATGCAGCGGGTCCCGGTACTCATTGGGTAGCGTACGCGAAGAGGGAAGATCGAGTCGTATATTTCGACAGTTTCGGCAATCTTCGACCGCCGAAAGAATTGGTGCGATATTTCGGGCCGAGCGTGACGAAGATCGAGTACAATTGCACGTCTTATCAGCGATACGATCAGAACATCTGTGGACAATTGTGCCTGCGATTTCTCCTGACGATCGACGCTAATTTAAAGCCCGACGGTGCGCCGTGGTGACTCAGTATTCGTTAACGGTTTTCGCCGACATGTCTATAACGTTCACGCTGACGGGGAAGAGCAGCATCCTCGCGGAGCACTATTTTCCCGCCGTGGATCTGAGCGACGGTGACTACGAGCTCGGTCTAACGTGTTTTGAGACTTATCACACGATTCCGAACGTGAATTCTTCGAACAATAAATTTTATTTCGACGAGGATGACACGGAAATTACGATTCCCGAGGGATCGTACGAGATACGAGCCATACATGAGTTTTTGAAACGCGAAATTTCACGAAAACGCCCGCGACGCGTAAATCGTTCCAACGATGATCGTACGTCGGTCGCGAATATCGCGCGAGAGGCGACCGCTCGCGCGAACGGCTACGAAGACGAGGCCGCGGAATACCCGATAGTGCTCCGCGCAAATTACAATACGATGAAGAGCGAGATCAAGTGCGCTTTCAGAGTGAACTTTAACAAACCGAACAACGTTGGATCGCTGCTGGGATTCTCGTCGAAGCGTATATTGCAGCCGAGACAGTGGCACGAATCGGACGCGTCGATTAATATTATCAACGTAAACATTATCCGCGTGGAGTGCAACGTGACCGCGGGTGCGTACAGCAACGGCAAACGTGTTCACACGATACATGAATTTTCACCGAGCGTACCACCGGGATATAAGATATCGGAAACGCCGGCGCAGATCATTTACCTGCCGATCATCGCGCGAAGCGTTACGGATCTAACGATACGCGTCACGGATCAAGACGGACGATTGCTCGATTTTCGAGGAGAAGAGATCACCGTCAGATTGCACGTACGACGACTACAGCGATAACGCGCGACGTGTGACATGCTCGTGTTGAACGACTCGGAGCGTGCGACGGATAAGAATATCTTTACGACTGCGACGATCGACGATATCATCAAATCGACATTCGGTAGCGTTAAAACAGAGACGAAAACAGAGGCGAGAAAGAAGCTCAACCCATCAAACGTTAAATTTTTACAATCTCTGGGATTCGCGGTACAAAACATCTGAACGATGACTGAAATTCTTAACATCGGAGGCGAGCCGGTCTTTGACGATCGCATCGTCAAGATCGGGACTCACACGTACAACCCGTACGCCAACACAACGTTCGAGTATAGCGACGAGATACGAATACCTATACAACAGCAGGATCTGTATACGTTGCCGTGCGAAAGTTTTCTCTACGTCGAAGGAACATTGACGGTGACCAGAGCCGCCGGCCAAGCCGATAACGTGGTATTGGGGAATAATTGCGTCGCGTTCATGTTCGATGAAATTCGATATGAGCTCGACGGTGTGGAGATTGATCACTGCAGAAACGTAAGAATAACCAGCACGCTCAAGAACTACGTTACGGTATCGTCCGACAGAAGCGTGATCCTGCGAAACGCGGGCTGGGAACCGCATAATAACGCGAACGGATACTTCAATTTCTGCGTACCGCTCAACCTGTTACTGGGATTTTGCGAGGATTACAAACGCGTGGTGATCAACGCTCGTCACGAATTAATCTTGATACGATCGCGCACCGACAACAATTGTCTGTTGGGAAGTCTCGCGTTGGAGCCTACTGTCAAACTACTCAAGATACAGTGGCGAATGCCTCACGTGGTATTGAGCGAGGTCAACAAGCTGTCGATGCTGCGGGCCTTGGAAAACGGACGATATCTAAGTATGGGTTTCCGTTCGTGGGATCTGTACGAGTATCCCCTGTTGCAGAACACGACCAAGCACTCGTGGGCCATTAAGACCGCGACTCAGCTCGAGAAACCGTGATACGTCGTCTTCGCTCTGCAAACGGGTCGGAAGAACGTCATGTCCGGACACGAGCCGATTCGACGACTGCAAACTGACCAACGTGAAACTCTACCTAAACTCGGAAGTCTATCCGTACGACGATTTGAATTTGGACTTTGGTAAACACAGATGGGCGATTCTGTACGATATGTACGCGCGTTTCTGCAAGGGCTATTACGGATACGAATATCTCGAGCCGAGTCTCACCGTTTCAACTTTTCTACGTAACGGCCCGTTCGTGATCATCGATTGCTCTCGACAAAACGAATCCGTCAAAAACGCCACCGTGGATGTCAGACTAGAATTCGATTGCATAGAGAACGTACCGCCGAATACCTCCGCGTACTGTCTCATCATACACGATCGCGTGATCGAGTACAATCCGTTGACCAACGTAGTGCGCAAAATAGTCTGAGTGTTCGCGGCAACGTCGACGAAAATTTTTTCTCTCTTTAACTCCCGATACAAATTTATGAGAGGGGAAAAAGAGGGGAGCAGGATATAAAAATCAGAGTGTCGCGAAACGCGCGTCATTCCTCTCGATTCACGCATTGAAGAAAGAGAGATATTTCTTCATGTTTGCACCAACGTTTGTCGACCTGCAAGGTTTCGTCGTCGGGATGAAGTTTGTCGTGAAGGAGGTGGCGGTGCTGAGAAACGGGGCCGTTCTGGCGCATTACATCTTTACATGCCCCATGCCGTGGAATCTCCTCACAAAATCCGACAAATCGTGCGCTTCCTGGTTGATTCGCAATCACCATGGATTACGATGGGAAGACGGAAACGTGTCGTACAGCAAGGTGAAGCGTTTAATTACATCAGCGGTGCTCGGTGAGGAAGAGGACAACGACGACGACGACGACGAGATGCCGACTCTCGTGTACGTCAAGGGATGCCAGAAACGAGAATGGCTGGTAGATCTGCTTGAGAGTAAAGCGAGAAAAAACCTAAACATCGAGACTCTGGATGCGGATTACGAAGATATCGAATCTTTAAATAATCTAGATGTTACCAATACTGTGCGATGTGGAAAACACATTAAAAATTGCGCATTGCAAAATGTATTAAAAATATTTAACTGGTGGTCGCGACGCCAGAGAGAATTGTCATCTTTTTAAAAAATAAATTTTATACGTATGTGTAAATTTTTCAATGTTTTATTTCTTTTCCCTTTAGTCGATAGTGTACAAAATTAAAGAATAAGTAGGTATACGTGACGAATTCTAACTCGAGAGCTTCGAGGAGGGGGAATGGAGTATCAGTTTTAGACGAACATGTCTGAACATGTTTCGCGGTTGATGTCATGCGGAGGGGAGAGGGGGAGGGGGGGGGATACGTCTTAATAAAGAAAAAACATCCTACCTTAGTCCCCTCTCCTAAAATTCAGAGCGCTGATTGCGCGTTACAGAAACATTAATTTCCCCCTCCTTCATCATAGTTTTGGAAGGGTTATAGTGGGTGCTGTCGCGTATACTCGATTAATTTTCTACGACTAGTCTCGTATCGGCTGCTTGTGCGAACGGTCCGCTTCTCATAACCGAGAGAAAAAATGTATTCCGTTGGAGGAAGCAACGGCGGCAACAGCGGCAGCAGACGTATGAATTATTGCGTGCCGATTCCCGATGTTGAAACTCCAACGTGTGAAAACAAGTAAGTTTTGTATAATTTATAGAGCTTTATATTTTTTTATATCTTTTTTGCGAATTGTATTATTTTGAAAGTAATCTCATTATTTTTTTCTACAGCATTTCGTTGGATCGTCGCGCGGTTCGTATACTCAGCAGACGATACGCGCTGACAGCTACGGAATACAAATTCCTCGAAATTGGTATCAACGTGGGTCCACCGAGCTACGTGGAGATCGCCATTGGAGATCCTCGCCGAGGAAAGGAACTGCTGTTGTCTCTCGAAACGTGGAAGGCGCTATACGAGCAACGGCAAAATATTCAGAATTTCTTTCGCAATGACTTCAAAGATATCCATAGTTTTATAAACGTTGGACCGCTAACGGTGAGAGTTTGTACGGTTAATAACATCAAACTCATACGTCTCGAATCTGCAAATGTATGCTTGAGAATGACCGAATCGACGTTGCATCGTATGTTCGATCTCGATCGGTGCATCGATGCGAGATTCAATCATTTGATCAGAATACTTGCGACGGTCGATGCAAAGTTTGCGCAGTTCTCCGATATCGCGTCCACTGCGAAGGATCCCAAGGAAGCGTCGAATGTAATATACGCTAGCGATGCGTTCAATACGAATCAGATCATCGATTGTGAGCTCGCAGCTTTAGTTTTTAGCACGTAAGATATATTATGTAAAAGAAAAGTTAAATAAACAGGCTTTTCTTACACCCTAAAACGAACGATGTATTTTTCTTTTGCGTGTCCTTCCCTATACCTAACTTTTTTCCGGCGTTTTATTGTTTCCCTTTTTTTTACCCCGTATATCTCGGAGTTTTTTTTAGAAATTTTCTTAAAATAAATAAATAAATATTAAATAATTATCTATTCCCTTTCTCTTAGATAGTTCTCCTATACAGAAAAATAAAGAGGAGAGACCGCGACGGTTAAGTCGCATAAAATTTTGGTCGAGTACCTACGTCGCGCGACCATCGATGCTCGGCCATCCGCAGTGCGAGATGATATTCGTTTATAAATTCTGTCATCGACGTTCGTCGATACCCATAGAAATTGAGTCGCGTTGCCGCGCTTATGCCGTCTAGTGTTTATAAAATCTAGCAGCCTGTCATCGGCGCTCGCCTTTGTAACGCGCGACGCCATAGCCGAATGGCGCCGCGAAACACCGATAAGCGGCAATTCCTACAAAGAAAAGTGAAAAAGACCGCGGTGTCACGCTAGTCGCAGGTCGTAAATTATAGCCGCCTGCCATAGGCGCTCGCTCGCATTTGATAAGTGTGAAATGATATCTGTTTATAAATACTATCGGTCGAACATCGACGCGAGGCGGCATTTGTTTATCGAACATGTCCCGACGCGCTCGCCTAATCCACCCCCCCCCCCCCCC